CTGCTGACTAAGCGTAATGCCTCTAATGCAGCTGCTTGCAGTCATAGAACAGCCTCGAAGGACCATCTGGTCCAGCCTCTCGTGGGAAGGGGAGCCCAGATGAGATGATCTGGCACCATGTCCGCTTGCGTCTTGAGAACCTCCAGTGACGGGGACCTTGCCACGTCCCTGGGCATGTTGTTGTGGTGACCGATGGTTGTCACTGTAAAAAAACCTTTTTCTTACATCCAGTTGAAACCTCTCCTAGAATCGACACCTTCATATTCTCTGTGCTCTAATGATGCTGAGTGGAGGAGGAGGTAAAAAAGGGCAGTATGACATCTTATACATACTGAAATAGTTATAATCTAGTTTCACTAAAAACTGAAGTTTGCCAGTTTAAAAATGATTCTGTAGCACAGTGGAGTGAAAATTCTTGGCTCCTCCATCCTTGGAAAGGAACACAAGCACAAAAAGAATGCAAGGAAATTATGTAGAAGACCCAGTTTGCTGGTCCAGCGTGTGGGTCTGGTGGAACCTGTAGGAACAGGCCATCTGTGTCTCTTTCCTGAGGGCCTCTCAGGAGGCTGCCGGGAGTGTTGTGGCTGTCTGTCTGCTCAGCGCCTCAATCCCCGGGGCCCTCCCGGCAGTGGCAGATTGCTGACATTTTTGCTCATCGTATGACTGAACTTTTAAGAACTCTTTCTGACACGTGCCAGTCATACTGGATGATTGACTTGCGCAGGTCATGTGGCCGTGTAACCAGTCATGTTCTTAGGTGACTGACTGGTTGTCTTTCATGCGGTGATTGATACCTGAGGCATCCCTGCGTGGGTGCTGGGGGAGACGCAGGGTTTCGCTGCCAGTCGGTGTCTGGCAGAGGCTGCTGGAGCTGGGACAGGGCAGCGCTCGCAATGTAGCTTCACTGTAGCTGAAAAACTCGTGGCCTCCAGAGCTGAGTTGTTAACTGCTCTCTGGGATATTGTCTTCTAAGCAAAATAAGTGATTTGTAGAAGAAAACCCCAACCCTCAAACATTGTGATTCTGCCTTTCCTGTTTTGGCTTATGTTTACTTGTGGAATCTTGCCCTTCTTTCGCTTCCTGAATTGTCACTCAGGAAGTGGCAGAAAATGGCAATGGGATGAAGTTCGTGGGTGTTTTTTTTTTATTTCCCCCCTGGTGAAATAGCGCTCTCTGTTCCCTTTCCTTCTTCCCAGAATTTTTCTGTTTCAGAGTTTAATACAGATAACTTCTGTCCTAGCTTTTTCCCTCGTAGTATTACAGCTGTGCAGCACTCCTGTCCACTTTTGCCATTTATATTTGGCAGTGACGGTAATATGTGTACTGTGTGTTTGCTTTGTTTTTGCAGTTTAACTTTTTACATTGCTTAAGTTAATTTGCCAGCTGACAGTTATGTGACACATAAGTAGTTGCTAAATATGCAATAATTTGCAACCTAAGCTTTAGGCTATTTTACCTATTGTTTGTGCTCCAGTAATGCCTACGGCCCCAGTGAGGATTGTGGCCCTGCTCTGCCAGATACTGAATGTGTACCTAGATCCCCATTGCACTCAAATTTTATTTCACGGTGTATTTGTTTAATCTGTACAGCTCTGGAGGGGAGGATGCAATCCTTGCATCTCATTTAGCTGAAATGAAGTAAAATTCAAGAGAACAGATAAGCCTGAATCCAGTCTTTATTTCCTCTGTGTGGATAAGTAATTACTTTTGATGTGGCACTAATTACACTGTACAGTGGTGCATTAGGAAGCGTTGACAAGATTGTTAGGAGGTTCTGTAACATGTTGCAGCAACTTAGTTTACACCAGTGATGAGATGCATGGGATGAGTCATTTTCCATCATAACTTCTGATGATCTACGCAGCCTACTGAAATAATGAAATGTGGTGATGCAAAACTATTTTAAGAATTTGGTTTTATGTTCTGTCTCTGTCAGATACCGTGCTTGTGTGGAAGTGCCCCGTGCCTGCTCTGCCGATGCTGCCCCAGTGGAAACAACTCCACCATAACTCGGCTGATTTATGCATTCTTTTTACTCCTTGGCGTGAGCGTTGCCTGTGTAATGTTGATACCAGGCATGGAAGAACAGCTGAAGAAGGTGAGGTTACTTCTTTGCTAACGTGTTTGGTTGAACAAATGTTGCAGATAATTGTAAACCACATCTTGAAAGCACAGGCTTTATTTGGAAATATGTAACTGTGCTGCCACCGGTGCTTCACAGTCACAATTCATTTGATTGTAGATCAAATAAACAAAGAACTCGTGGGACAGTCAGTGCATAGATTGAAAGCACTATTCAGAAATAAAGTCGCACCTCTTCTTTAATAGCTCAGAGCAGAAAAAATAAATCTTGACTCAAACAAAAAATATAATTTGTTTAAATTATATATTGAGATGCTTGTATTTGTGACACTTCATTAGTTTTGATTGCTGTTAGTAAAGGAATGAAAAATAACCACAGTCTAAGGTGCCTTCTAGTTTCATTGTGCTGTACTACTTAAAATTCTATTTTGAAGCCTGCAAATGCGTAACAAAAATATTTTTCACTAGTGATAGTGGTGTATTTTTCACAAAGGATATTAGGAGGTGCTTAAAGGACTTTACAGTTTATTAGTTATATGAAGATGATAGTGCAGGTAAAATTACTGAGTGGTAATTTGAGTTATGGGAGAACTTAGAGATTCACTGAACTCGGGTTGCATGTGCTTTATTTCTGCTAGTCTTTGTTTTGCTGTCTTTAATTTTTTTCTAGTAGATAGTAACTTCTGTTAGGAACGCTTCTGATTTTCTTCCCCCCAAATGATTCATCTGTAAATGTTAATTTCAGTGTGGTATAGTAACCACACTAGAGCTTCAGTGAGAGCCATGTTGGTCACCTAGGAAGGAAAATGACAGCCTTTTGGAGTGTGATTTGACCCCACAAAGGTGTTGCTCGTGTCCTTGTGGTGACTGGAAAGAGTATTCTCATCTGTTTCATGTGGAAGTTACAGATACTTATAATTGCTTGTGATGTTACTTGTTTGGGGGAGGCTGCTTCAGTTTTAGAGATGTAAGCAGCCTGCCTGCTCCTAGCTATGTCATGAAGTTGATAGCAACTGTGAAGTCAAATTTACCAAATCCCAATTCTTTTATTTATCTTCTGATTCAGATCAACAACTGAAAATTATGTTTCTTTGAGAAGTTTCTGAAGTTGCTAATAACAAAAAACTCTCCACCCCACCACTGTTAATAAGATCTTTTTTGGGTTTTTTTGGTTTTTTTTGTGTGGGATTTGTTCCCTTGAATGTGTTTAATATTCTGATTAGACTGTAACTAACAATACAGCCCTTCAGTATCAAATTTTCTAGCAACGTTAGGAGTTGCATAATGTTAAAATCTTAGAGTTGTATATTAATAAATTGCTAATACATATTTACTCACAGGAGGCCTTTTACAGATCACTGAAATATCTTGTGTTTATCACAGATTCCTGGATTTTGTGATGGAGGGATGGGAACAACTATTCCTGGTGTGCATGGCCACGTGAATTGCGACGTACTAGTTGGTTACAAAGCCGTGTACCGTGTGTGCTTTGGTATGGCCATGTTTTTCCTTCTCTTCTCCTTATTGATGATCAAAGTGAAGAGCAGCAATGACCCAAGAGCAGCGGTGCACAATGGGTAAGATACAGAAATGAGAACGGTGTGTGCGTATGAAATACAGCTACGGTGAAAACAAAGCCTGTTTTGAGGCATGCTGGTCAAATCTACTGTTCCACAAACAAAAGAATTTCATAGTAGCTAGAGGATTATTGTTGCAGTAGAGGGCATTCAAAGTTACTACAGTTCTTACACATGGCAGATTAATTTTTATAAGAGGAAACGATACAAATGGCTGTCGCTTTTCAGAGCCTGAATTACGGCAGCGGATAATCTGTCCAGAGGTTTCCAAAGATGAGAGATTCTGCTTTTATCCAAAGGTGACAAAATTCAGAGATAAATAATGGTACTAAGTTTCATTCCACTGAGATGTTTTCAGCAAATAGAAAGATTAAAGAGCCTCATCTGTCCTCTAGGGATTACATTTCTCCAAACTTTGATGTTTGTAAGGGCTTGCTCTTTGCCGAACAGTTCTATTTTAAAGATGGTAACAGTTATATATGTATATGTATACACACACATAGATATATAACATATCTCTTCCACCTCTGCTGTCTTTTCTTCAGTCTTCTCCTCTGCGTAAAGAAGAGTGAGTTATGTATTTAGTTTCTGATCTTCCCAATAAATTTTTCTTTTGTATTTCATTATAGTTAGGATTATCAGGTGGAAGATAATAGTGGAATTTCAGCTTGGGGGTTGACCCAAGTCGTAGTCTTCATCCAGGCTCAACCTACTTTTAGTGTAGCTTCTTGAATCGTGGAGATGCAAGTTTTTGTGATGGGGCATGGCACAAAAAGCATAAAGCTGTTTGTGGTGCATAGTCTTAGTGGTCACAGTGATTGCTTAGACTGCTGCTTTTTCAAGGTGATTATATTTAACAGAAGCTGTTAACAGCTAAGCTGTAAAAATGAAGAAGTCATTTTATTTTATATTCAGTATAATAAGATTAAGCATTTCCAGCGTAAAATGAGAAAAAACTTCAAATTATTTCGGTAGGGGAAAATAAAATAATTAAGACTGAGCAGAGTATTTCTTTGTTTATTCTTTTGTTTGTTTTGATCTAAAGAAAAAGAGGCAGGGTGGTGCAGTGTTAAGATGCATTAGCAGCAGTAACTCAGTTCAGCCTTTTCCTCTGCCCTGCTTTGTTCAGGAGAGCATACTTGTTACAAGCAGGAAGAAAATGCTTCAGGTACATTCTATTTCAGCGCTTAACGTTTTTCACAATAAGAGATGCCTTTTACATGATGTGGAATCTTTTTACCTAAAACCGCTTCTTACGTGTTTGGGGTCTTCCCGATACCCTTATCTGGAGTTGTGCTCTCCAGTACAAAATTTGGTACTATTTATGCAACCCGTAGCAGTTTACTCTTTGCCAGTCTTAATATCAGCAACAGGATAAAAGAAAAAACGATACTTGTTAATTGTTACTGGTGAAATATTAAATAATGTTCCTTCCAACACTTCCGCAAGAACTGCTTGCTTCAGGAGTATGCATTACAGGTAGCTTTTTGAAAATCATGGCTTTTGATTGAAATTATATGTATCTTCAGTAATACTTTGCAATGTAATCTTTCTGTCAGTGATTTGAAATATTCAAAATATTTGGTTTCCCATGTATGTGTACTTTTTCATACTTGCATGCAAGTTAAGCCCAGTAATATGGTCCAGTGCCAGTGTTCACCACCTCTGCTTTTGTAACAGCAGTCAGAATTGTTTCTTGCCTCAGGTTAATAATTATAATAGAAAATATCAGTTATAATGTATCCACAGGACTGTTGCTGGCTTGCATGCAACTCATAGCAATTGTAGGTGTTATTTTTGGCTGTCACACACGTTATATGGGTAGAGCATTAAGATCCCTGGAAGTCTGGAATTAGAGATGAAACTTATACAAACTTGAACCTGTTCTTATTTCTGTAATTGAGAATGACATTTATTTTGAACAAGAAAAAAAATTGCACATGTGGATTCAAAAACTAGTTTTAGTGGGGTATTACATAGTAAATGTAACAACTCAATTCAGCTTTCAAGCTGGATTTAGTCACTTTTCTATGTTCCAGTGAATTAGTCTGTTTTTCTGTATTCTGCACTTCTGTCATCTCACGTAGTTCCTCTCTGCAGAATTGGCATTTATTCCTCTGAACAAGTTCAGTCTCTCTTTCTGGCTGTAATGATTGGGTGGGGGTGACTAAAGTATGGGAAGGGATAGAAAACCTGAAAACCACGCAGGTGTTTGACATCGTGGGGGTGTGGTACACGTCTTTGCTATATTCAGTTTTGAAGTACATGCAGATGGCACTGTGCCTCTATTTGGACCTGCCTGTCACTCTGATCAGAAAAAAACAGTCTTCACTTTGTGATAGTTTGGTTGGTGTAACTTTTTGGTTTGAAGTTCACTATGCAGGGTATATTCGTACACATTCTGTGTTTGGGGGGAGTTTGGTGGATCTTTGGTGGAAGATACTTCCTTGTCAGCTTTCTAGGAGACATCTCATCTGGTTTTGTCCATGAGTTTGTATCTGCTACTGGAAAAGGAAATCCAATTCTACTGCACTGGAACAGAGATGTAGAATTTGATTGTGTCCTTGCTGTCAAGGATAAATCCTTTGCTTTTGTTGTGATAAATCCTCATCAGATGTAGGCCTAAAGAGTCTGAAGTTAGGTGGGGAGAATCTAGGCTTTTGTACATCTCTTTCTTGTAGGAAGTAAATTGAGACTGGTGAGGAATTCCAGCATAATGTTTTCTGTGGTTGTAGGCACCAACCAGATCTTCTGCCTTTTTGCTTTTGATACTAAGAACAGACAGGGATTTTTTTAACCCGTTTTTCTAATATGCAGGCAGTTCAATGACCTTGCTGCTCTAGTTAAAAACCTTCTTAAAAAAACCCAAACCAACAACTCACAATTATATTCCACCCTAGCTTCGTTTGTAGTACATCAGTGAGATGTCTCTGGGAAATGTGTCAAACTCTGTGTCAGTCTAGAACAGTTTAAGCCTAAATTTCTGGAGAACAAAAATCGTGGGCAGATGAAATAAGTTTTTATCCTACTTCAAAAGTAGTGAGTTAAGAATGAGTGAATTAAAAAAACAACTCTTAAGGATGTGCATTTTGCTTACTTTCGAGTTTTTGTGAATTGGATCAGACTTCAGCAGTTGCCTGACTTTTTTTTTTTTTTTTTTTTAAAACTTCCCTTTAGATTCTGGTTCTTTAAATTTGCAACAGCTCTTGCGATTAGTGTTGGAGCTTTCTTCATACCAGAGGGACCATTTACAACTGGTAAGGGAATATTGTCTCCTACTGTATTGTGGTGCAGTCATAACTGGTTTTGAAACAAAACTAAGTGCATGCTGATGTCTTACAGGTTTTATTGTAGCTGTGTAACTATAGATCTTTCCTGTGTTTAGAGATATAAAGACAGAGTGGTACATTACCTGTGTTTCTGAACTGGTTTTGGTTTATTTCTCTTTTAGTGTGGTTTTATGTAGGTATGGCTGGAGCATTCTGCTTTATTCTTATTCAGCTGGTCTTGCTGATTGACTTTGCCCACTCCTGGAATGAATCTTGGGTTGAAAAAATGGAGGAAGGAAACTCAAGATGCTGGTATGCAGGTAAAGGACTGTGCTACCATCAAGTTTGATTTAATTGTACATTAAGTTAAATAAGTTATTCACCGAGCAATGCATTTTACCAGAGTGCTGAAGGGCTGCTTTGTGACTAACTATCACTTTCTCAGATGGTACAGTTCACATCTCTTAGCTTGCTGTCCTTTTGATGTCAAGTTAAATAAGGGCGTGGCAGGGTGAGGGGCAGCAGCCTCTGAGTAATAAGATCTAATCCCTGGGAGCAGGGCATCAGTTTATGGTAGCAGAGAAATGGCAATTGTAGGTTTTTAGATTTTTTTTCATCCACAGCCTTTGTTACACCTCAGCACTGATGAAAAACAAACTAGCCTGCTACTGTTTTGTGTTGAGCATAAGTATCTCAATTGTTTTTTCTTTCTGTCTGCTGGTCACTCATTCTTCGAAGGTATATGCTGAGTGAAAGGCCAGGATAGTGAAGGAGAGTACAAGTCATCTCACTGGAGAAATTAATAAAGTGTTTCAAATGTGATAATTTAGGTGTTTCAAAAAAAAAAAAAGCACAGCCTGTCTTCTTGCAATATCTACTTCACTCTTTAGTGGTTTTAATAAGATGGAATTTGGAAATAAGGTTTTGTTTTTACTTTTATTGGAGAAGTAGCTCTTCACTTTCTTTCTTAAGCTTTTCGCCAAAGTGTATGTAGTATAACTGTATTCTTTCATATTTGCCCTTCTTGGTTGCTGTTAAAGCACTAAAATCAAGTATGGTTGAAGGCTTTCCAGTTACTGTGTTCTTTCTTTTTAACACCTCACGGTACTGAGAGGATCTTATTTTCATTACATTTCAGTGCCCAGAGTTGCTTCCCAATTCTGTCATTGTATACCATATCCAAAACCTGATAATCCTGCAATGTTACTTCAGTTCTAATGCTCTCCATTAATAACTAGTTTAACTCTGGTTTTGCCTCTTCACAGCTCTGCTGTCAGCTACAGCTGTCAATTACCTGCTGTCTCTAGTAGCCATCGTCTTGTTTTATGTTTATTACACTCATCCAGAAGGTTGCTCTGAAAACAAGGCATTCATCAGTGTTAATATGCTGCTGTGCATTGGTGCTTCTGTAATGTCAATTCTGCCAAGGATTCAGGTATAGTTATAATTCTGTTATCTTTTGGGGTTTCTGTATTACCAGTCCCAGAAACCTATAATATAATCATGCCTGAGATCTTTTAATTGCCTAACGTTGCTGTTTCATGACTTCTTCGTACAGGAATCTCAGCCGAGATCCGGTTTGCTGCAGTCTTCTGTGATCACAATTTACACAATGTATTTGACGTGGTCAGCTATGACCAATGAACCAGGTAAGTGTAGTAGCAATATATGGCCTGTTGGGTAACCAATTCAGCAGTAAATTGTACCTTCACCTTTTTGCAAAGCAATATTAGAATGGGGTGCTATAATGCGTGCAAATTACAGGCAGGACTTATTAGCTTGTGTTCTCTCCCCCCACCCCAACTTTCTGTAATAGTGTTGAAGAAATAGTTCTTCCAAAAATAACATGTGATGAGGGATTAGGGGAGCGAAGTCCCTCCCACAGTAAGGGAAGATCAGGTTCGTGACCACCTGAGGAACCTAAACATACATAAGTCTATGGGACCCAATGAGATGCATCCCAGAGTCCTGAGGGAATTAGCTGATGTCATTGTCAAGCCACTCTCTGTCGTATTTGAGAAGTCGTGGCAGTCAGGTGAAGTCCCTGATGACTGTGAAAAGGGTACAATTGCACCCGTTTTTGAAAAGAGTAGAAAGAAGGACCGTGGGAACAACTGACCTGTCAGCCTCACCTCCCTGCCTGGGAAGATCATGGAACAGATCCTCCTAGAAGCTATGCTAAGGCACATGGAGGGAGGTGATTGCGGGACAGCCAGCATGGCTTCACCAAGGGCAAGTCCTGCCTGACCAACCTAGTAGCTTTCTGTGATGGACTGACTACATCAGTGGATAAGGGAGGAGCTATGGATGTAATCTATCTGGACTTCTGTAAAGCCTTTCACACAGTCCCTCACAACGTCCTTCTCGCTAAATTGGGGCAATAGGGATTTGATAGGTGGGCTGTTCAGTGACTAAGGAATTGCTTGGAAGGTCACAGCCAGATGACCAGATGGAGGCTGGTGACAAGTGGTGTTCCTCAGGGGTCTGTATTGGGACCAGTGCTGTTTAATATCTTCATCAGTGACATAGACAGCAAGATCGAGTGCATCCTCAGCAAGTTTGCAGATGACACCAAGCCGAGTGGTGCACCAGAAGGACGGGACGCTGTCCAGAAGGACCTGGACAAACTGGAGAACTGGGTCCATGTGAACCTCATGAAGTTCAACAAGGCCAAGTGCAGGGTCCTGCATCTGGGTCAGGGCAACCCCTGCTATCAATACAGGCTGGGGAATGAAGGGATTGAGAGCAGCCCTGCTGGGAAGGACTTGGGGGTACTGGTGGATGAAAAGCTGGACATGAGCCACCAATGTGTTCTCACAGTCCAGAAGGCCAACCATATCCTGGGCCGCATCGAAAGAAGCGTGGCCAGCAGGGCAAGGGAGCTGATTCTGCCCCTAGGCTGAGACTGTTGGGACTGTTCAGCCTGGAGAAGAAAAGGCTCCCGGGAGACCTTACTATGGCATTCCAGTACCTGAAGGGGGCCTGTAGGAAAGATGGGAACAAGCTTTGGCAAGGCCTGTTGTGACAGGACAAGGAGTAATGGCTTTAAGCTAAGGGAGGGTAGATTTAGACTGGATATAAGGAAGAAAGTTTCACCACCCTCACTGTGAAAAAACTGGAACAGGTTGCCCCAGAGAGGTGGTTGATGTCCCATCCCTGGAAACATTCAGGGCCAGGTTGAACGGGACTCTGAGCAACCTGGTCTAGTTGAGGATGTTGCTGCTCACTGCAGGGGGGTTGGACTAGATGACCTCTAAAGTTCCCTTCCAACCCCAGCCATTCTATGATTCTGTGAATGTGTTTGTCGCTTGTTCTTGTGTTTATCATGTGGAAGAATTTCCACCCATTGTTGACAGGATTGCAGTATTCTAAATCTTGGATTTTGCAGATTACCACAACTCTTCCCAGGTGATATTTCATCTCCCTATCAAGTTTCAGGTTTCTTACCTGGTGTTGGAGATCTACTGAATGTATTTTTCCCTGAGTGTTTTTAAAAATGTATTAGTGAATGTTTTCAGTGCTTCTTGTGTCTGAAAACAACTGAGCATCTCTTAAACACAAACAAGCAAGCAAAAAAAAAAACCCCACAAAACCCCAAACAACAAAAAACCCAAAACAAACCCCCAAACTTAAATAATTCAGAAGTTCTGGTGATTAAAATAAATGGCCAAATACCGATGTTGGTGTTTTAATTGGGTCTCTGGCCCTTGTATATTAATGATGGACAACCTTCTGTGCCTTGGTGTAACAGCATACATATGAGTCATGTCTAATTCTTGCCATAATTATGGGAAAATAAGATTGCCTCCTACTTTCAGCTGCTGCACCTGAGTTGCCTGTGGATGCTGTGGGCTGGGAACCGTTGACAATACAAAACTGACTTCGTAGCATTTTTTTCCAACCCCAAGATGACTGGTCCTCCATCTATGGAGATGTTTGTCAAACTTGCTTTCTAGCAGTAAAATTTCTAAAGCTTAATATGCAGAGCATTTTTATTTTGTTGCATCTAATTATATGAGATGGAACAGTAAAGCAGTCGATGCGTATCTTATATGAGTTTAAAATCCTTTTATCTGCTCAGAGATGGGTTTTTATGCCACGTACTGTCATTTGCCTGCTCTAGGGAGACTCAGTAGGCTAAAATTAGATTCAAAGCTTTTTTTACTTCAAGCCTGTCACAGTCACAAGTTTCCTTTCTATTACCGCGTTCGGTGTGGAGATGTACTACTAAATATTTATTCTGTTACTGTTTTATGTAGGTACTAATGTAATTTCCCCCACAGACAGGCGCTGTAACCCAAGTTTGCTGAGCATCATTGGTTACAACAGCACCACCATTCCAGCCCAAGGTCAAGTAGTTCAGTGGTGGGATGCACAAGGGATTGTAGGACTGGTTTTGTTTTTGCTGTGTGTTCTCTATTCAAGGTAAGAGTCCTTTAAAAAAATTCCTTGTTATCTTGTACTACTTCTTGTTGTCAGATACTAAATTGTATTTATTTGGGTAATTGTACCGTGTCCTTTCCTGTCAAATGCAGCATCCGGACGTCCAACAACAGCCAAGTTAACAAGCTGATGCTGACCAGTGATGAGTCGACACTGATAGAGGATGGAATGCCCAGGAGTGACGGCTCGCTTGATGATGGAGATAATGTTCACCGAGCCATAGATAATGAGAGGGATGGAGTTACTTACAGCTACTCCTTCTTTCATTTCATGCTTTTCCTGGCATCCCTGTATATCATGATGACACTTACCAACTGGTACAGGTATTTACATTTGAGAATATATTGTGCTAGTAATGAGCATACAAAATGCTGGACAAGGAGGTGTAAGTTGTGTGCTGTGAGGAATGTGGGTCTCGAATGGGACTTCTCAAGGGAAGTACACTGTTTCATCCGTATTAAATGAACCGTATTGGAGAACTGGAGTAGCCAGCCTTGTTCACAAGTGCCTGTCGTATTTTTTAGGACAATTCTCGTGATTCACTGGACTGCTGAAGTACGTTCTGCTGAAATGAACAGGATAGAGTCTTAAATTCTGTAACAACTAAGAATAAGTAAACACCAGGCCCATGTCTGGTGCAGAGAGCTGGGAAAAGGAGAGATAGGACATGTTATATCAGGAGGTCAAGGGAGGTGATTCTTCCCCTCTGCTAAGCACTGGTGAGGCCACACCTGGAGTGCTGGATCCAGTCCTGAGCTCCCCAGTACAGGAGAGACATGGACATACTGGAGAGAGTCCAGCAAAGGGCTACAGAGGTGATCAGGGGACTGGCGCATCTGTCACACAAGGAGAGGCTGAGAGAGCTGGGACTGTTCAGCCTGGGGAAGAGAAGGCTCAGGGCGATCTCATCAATGCAGATAAATACCTGAAGGGAGGGTGTGAAGAGAATGGAGCCAGGCTCTTGCCCATGGTGCCCAGTGACAGGACCAGAGGCAGTGGGCACAGACTGAAACGTGGGAGGTTCCCTTTCAACATGAGGAAACACCTTTTCATTCAAAGGATGGCCAAGCACCAACACAGGTTGCCCAGGGTTTGTGGAGTCAATGCCTTTGGAGATACTCAGAAGCCACCTGGGCGCAGTCCTGGTTAGCTGTCCCTGCTGGAGCAAGGGGGTTGGGCCAGGTGGCCTTCAGAGGTCCCTTCCAATCCCAGCCATTCTGGGATGGAGTCTGGTGGAAGGAAATTGGGTTGTCTGCTTCCTGAAAAGATCCTCACAATAAAATAGTCCTCCGATGTGTGCATTGCTGTTACGTTAACAGCTTGAGCAGATGTTGTTCAGAATTGAAAAATACAAATTATGGTCTCTAATTTGTTAAAGGACAATTTGTATCATAATAGCAGCACTAGAAAGGTATTTCCTTCAGAAGTAACTCTTGGTAGATTGTCCTGCTGTGGATTTGATTTGTGACCCTCCTTGGATCAATATCGGGATTATTAATTCTAGGTGTTGTCTTTTGGCAAGGTAAAAGGCATCGTTTGTATCTATAAATGCTGTCCGATTCCTGCCTTTCCACAGATGTGCTTAGAGATTCCTCGTAATTATTTCTGCTTCTTGACAGCTTCTTTCTAAGTATTTTTTGGGGCTGCTGTTGCTTTCCACCTACCTGTGACACCAGCTTACAAGTGGTGTTCTTGTATGGGCTGGTGTGAACTGCCTGGAAGAAGGGCAGAGATGTCCTTTGAGGTGTGGAGCTGAAGTGAAGATGACCTACTGTGAAAAGAGTGTTGGAGAGCAGCTGCTACACAAGTATGTCACATTGAAACAAAAATTGCATATTGTTTTTTTTCTTCCCTTTCTTTCACAGCCCGGATTCTTCTTATGAGACCATGACCAGCAAGTGGCCGTCTGTCTGGGTGAAGATATCTTCCAGCTGGATTGGCATCGTGCTGTACGTGTGGACTCTGGTTGCTCCGCTGGTTCTTACAAACCGCGACTTTGACTGAGCTGCGCTGCTCTCTGGGAGGCTGCGATAGCCTGGCCCTGTCTGTGAGACAGACGGCGTTCCAGATCCTGGCGCAGCTGTAAATACGCGTGTGTGCTGTCCGTGTAGTGTACCCTGCTTTATTCTGCATGATCACCTTCAATCACGTCTTTCGTTGTGTCACTCGGTGACCCTTCCTAGCTGAGCTCAGTGGCCGTTGCGCTAATGATGGTTTTCATAGGATTACTCCTAGCCCGTGTGCTTAGGGAGCATTAGATGTAAAATCAAGACCTTTTGGAAGTAGGTCTTTCCCCCTTGATTGCGTTAAAACAGTTGTAGGGAA